ATCAACAAATATCACAGACATAAATGTCCGTATATGACTATAAGTGAGTATAATAATATATTGTTGGATTAAATTAATTAGCATGATTTGTTTCTATGACACAGCATGACAAGTCAAAATATATCATAGACATAGGTTAAAACCATGGGTGGACCACGAAGGATATAACCTAGACACTTGAAACATGAAATGTAAGGTTAGAACCTTTGTCGATCGGTTGAATGGGGTGTAAAAAAAAAAATTTTAATGAGGTTATGAAATCACGTGATTTATATTTAAGTGTTACAACAAATTCACCGTTAATTACAAGGTGATAGCAGAAAATAAAAGTAATGGACTAATGGTCTATGAGTTTAAAATGAGGGGTTCGAAAATATATTGGAAATAATTTGCGATTTCGTATATAATCAATACGATTTTTACTATTGCCTCACTCGGTGCTCTGTACAGATAAAATCCCGACACTTAAAAAAAATTCTCAATCAAATTTTTCTCAAAATAAAAATTCGGTAAACCCAAAAGAAAACGTTAAAGACTCAAAAAGAAACTTATCTATCTCCCTCTTCAATTTTGAGGGACATTTATAATATAAACAATAAACAATATAGATTAAGCGTCAATTTGACATGTCATTTAGTTGTCAAATCTACGGTTGTATAAGTCCTGCGTCAATAGATTTAATTATCGGCTAATAGATTACCCTTAGTATAATAACAAATTGTGAAACATGAATTTCTATTTTTTTTTCTCTTTCCTCATTTAAACCCAGACTTTTTTAATTTTTCCCTTCCTTCTGGTTCTTTTTAAGACTTTTTTTTTAATAATTTTTCTTTTCACAGTTTTTAAACCAGATTTTTTAATTATTTTTTTTTTTTCTTTTTCCTTTTTTTTTTTTTTTTTTTTTTTTTTTTTTCCCTTTTTCCGTCTGTCTAATTTTTTTATAAACTCTAGTTTTATAAAAATTTATCAAGTACATCTATATTTATACTATTTAAGTTGTCTGATTTTATTCAGTTAGAATAAATTAATAAATAAAATAAAATGTCTTAGCCAAATATCTATTTTTTTATCAAAACTGAAAAATAAATCTCTTTTTATTTTTTATTATTATCATTATACATTTTGTTAAATATCACTAAAAATAAAAAAGACTTTTTTTAGTTACTATTTTTTTTTTATTGTTTATTTTTTATTGTAATTTTTTTTAATTGTCTCCATCCTCTAACATGTAGTAAAATTTTAATTATATAAAATAAAATATTTAAACCCATTTTATTGAGCAATATATTAGTATAAATTAATCATGTTGCAATGTAACAGGCTACAGCTAGTTCTAACTAAATTAATTACAATAAAAAAATCTATCTAATTAAATAAAACAATATAATATATTATAATAAAACAAAATAAATTAATGAGGATCGAGCCACTTAAGGAAAAAAGTCAATTATTTATTATTCACATCTGTATTAAGTATATATCATATGTAATACTGATTGTCTTTTGAATTTTGATAATAATAACTTTCTTTTTAAATCTAATTTTAACAATTAATATATATATAATATTTGTTTTAGACTTATCAGAATAATTACCATTAATAAACTATAGTTGCGTAACTGATCAACTGATGAGTCAGAACAATCTCATTTTCTCATATATACTCCCATAACCTCAAAATATTTGTGCTTACACTTTTTCTCTTTTTAACCGGCTATTATTTTAACCATATCTAACGTCTTTTTAACCATGTCTAAACTCTATGAAGCAATCAATTTACTTGATTCAGCAGAGGAAAGAACTGCACTACGAATCTTCTTCACTAATACAGAAAAAAGAACTGAAGCAGAAAGCATCCTTCTTACATGTAAAGATAATAAAGAGGTAGTTGCTTATTTTAAAGGTTTCTTAAAGTCTGGTATGTTCCCTCTTAACTGTGTCATATTCTCCATTAATACCAAATACTTACTTACTTAATCTTGTACTTTTTTTCCTGCTTCTTATCATCAAACCCGTCCAAAAAAACACATTCTCATTATAGTAGAGCAACAGATTGAAAAGTTAGAGCAAGAAAACAATTATTTAAAAGAAAAATTGGCCCAAAGTGGTAATAAATATTCAACGCATCTTGGCTTGGTTTTTGATAACCAATTTTGTTCTGCCATATGCCCATACTTATTAATAATATCAAATGTTGCAGAACTTCCAGGAACTGCTGAATCTGTATACATTTTCATTGACAACTCAAAGTTATACATTCAAGGAAAGAAAAAGGTTGCTGAATGTGAATCTTTATATGAAAATATGGTTCAAATTGATTACGGTAAACTAGTTGAAATGGGTCAAAATGAACGACATATGGGTGCTAATCCTATTATTATTGGATCATGTCCCCCTCCTGAAGATACATTGTGGAATTCTCTTAGAAGGCTTGGATATAATGTGACTGTATATGACCAAAATTTTCTAAATGAAGAAAAGGAAGTCAACTCAGAAATGGTTAGAAATATTCTCAGAACAGTTTATAGAAATATCCCTGGTACAGTGATATTATTCACCGGGGATGGTGACTATGGTCCAGCAATAAGAGAAGCTCTTGATAATAATTGGACCATTGAAATATATATGGTTTTGGTCGACTGGTAAAGTATTAATAATGTTTTGTAACTGAGTTATTAAGTTTTGTACTAATCTACCTTTAAAATTCTCAACATGCCTTACAGAAATGTATGTCAAACATCTACAATACAAACCAGCCATTAAATCACAAAACACAATCATGAATCTTGATGATTATCATAAGAAATTCATGTTTGCCTGTAAACATCCTGATATTGCAAGAGTAAAGCATCTTGAAATTTTTACAGATATAGTTAAAGATAGTGATATAATGGAATACTACATAGAATTAGATTTGTTCAGATGGTGGCACAAGCAAAATGAGAATTCTTTGAAACTATATGTTAATAATTATACTCAATGGGAGAATTTGAAGAACTTAATATTGCACAAATATCCTAGCACCAGGGAAATAAAAAGAGGTAGGTATTGTTCATTTCATCAGGCAATAAGCATACAATTATAGCACACTTTTTGAATATTAATTATTTCCTAGATGTATTTTGGCTTGAAAAAGATACTTTCTTCAAAATGTATTCATCATTCCTTAACTGTAAGGGATAATTCTGCCTAAATAGCTGACCTGCCAAGGTTTATAAAATCTATCTGATAGGAATGTTAACCTAAGGCAAAGAAATAAAAAAAGCTGTTTCCTCCAAAAAAAAATTATTTTTGAGAATTGTTAGTGTGCCACATTACTGCGTGTCCATAATTTCATTTTTGAATAGTTATGCATAAATGAAAAAGTATTAGTTTATCAGCATTGGATTTTGCCTTTTTTTAATTTTATATCTGCGAAATTGATATGCAATATTATGTAAATTAATCTACATGCATGTGAATAAAAGTTCCTTTGATCTGTGAAAGATAACCTATCTTAATAGCTTGCCCTGTAATACAAATTTATGTAATGCAAATTTTTATATGTCATGCGAAGCGCCTCTTGCTGGTGGCCCAGCTGGGTCATGAGAATCTAATTTTTTTTTTGCCTGGCCTTATATGGCCATTTATTAATGCATACTTATTGTTGTAATAAAGATCATTTTTAATGTGAAAACATTGACATTAAAAATGTTTATAAACCAAAAAACGCACAGAATGTTTGAATGTTTATCAAAGTTATATTGACGGGGCAGTATAATTATCTGTAGATTAATCTGTCTGACTCACTCTGACAGATAAAAATGCGGGATCATAACCTTAGATCAATAGATGATAATGTAACAGAATGTTATTGAATATTGAATCCATGGGTCTATTGTATCTTAACTTTATTTGCAATCCTATAGATTTTTTTTAGTAAAGTATGATAATCGCACAATCTATTTATTTATGTACTCTTTTTTAATGGAATAATGAAAATCTAATAAGAGAAGTAAATAAATTAACTTAAACTGAAAGCTTATTTAATCACAATTGAAGTGAGTTGGTACTTTTCACTTGTTTTCTCAATAATATACATTTGCCATTTTTTTACTTTCATCGCTTTCTTCTGGGATAGTAGTAGTTGATATATTATCATTATTTTCAGGGTCAATACAATTAAGTTCTGAAGGATATTAAATCAAAAATAGATTGTAAAAATAAAACAGAAAATAAATTATACTTTATTCTTAACAGTATTTATGATTTGTTTTTTAGTGAGTATTGTCATTATATTTGATAACTTTACGAAATTAGTTTTTTAAACCTTCGTAGCAAGAAAATTATCTATTACTAAAAGCTTATAATTTACATCTAATAAAAAAAAAAGTTTAAATCTATTAAATATAATTATCTATTATGAACAAAATTATATTTACTAATTAATTTAAATTAATGGTATTACCTCTATAAAATTTTATGTCAGGTTCATATTCATTATCGAAGTCCCCCAGAAAATCGCATATTCTAGTTATTTGTATAATATTCATGTAAATTACCATATTCAGCCCACTCAGATACCAAATACCATTTATTTTTTTCACACATAAGTCTATATATTCTTGTAATATTTTTCCAATCATGAAGTTCTTTAAGAATTGTAACTTGATTTTGTACATTAGCACTTTCTTCCTCAAAAGTAATTTTAAAAGCAAATTCTTCACCTTTGTTTTTAATATTAATCCATTTAGTCACGCGTCCATCTTCATGTGGTTTCTCATCCCTATAAAAAAATTGGGATACGTTTTTTATAAAGTTTTTATACGATTTTTTTCCTTAGAAATAACGTATCATAATAGGATACGGAAAAATGCACAATTCTGTATCACTAAAAACATGGTTTGGATACGGAATTTGCATGGAATTCATATGGAATTTACATGATTTGATCACTGATTTTATCACGAAATTTATACGATTTGGTCACTGAATTTACTATTTGTATTACAGTTTACTATAATATCTGTCTCTTATACACATCTAGATGTGTATAAGAGACAGGTATACAGCTTATTGGATTGTATTGAGATGTATTAAATGGTGGATTTATACCTTTAGGATTAATAATAAATAATAAGATATTAACATTTTTTTGAAAGAATTTTTTTGTATTCTTAAATAATTCTAAATGCATTCAATAACTTCCCATCTATTAATGATAGAAACCACTATTTAACAATTTAACTTATCTTGATGAGACAAAGCTAACAAGCTATAATTTATTTTTCTATGATCACTGGATTATGATAAGTTACCTTATAAACTAAATTTGGATTATTTTTTTGCATAAATTTGAGCTAATTTTAAACTGAGTCCATTTGGTATAAATTTAACACAAAAACTTTCTATAAGGATTAAAATATCTATATTCATAATGCCGGCTAAATTTACAAAAACTGTTCATTTTTATAATTCT